CAGTTGATAGTTCAGCTCCTGAGTCTGTTTTTCCAACAGTGAATTCTGAAATTTTCTCATCATTTAGTTGGGTTTGATAAACAATTAACCATAACGGTAAGTTGTAGGGTAAATTGAACAATTTCGGATGCTAGCTATGGAAATCCATCTTGCCACTTCCACTTCTGCTCAGCTCCAAACTTAGCACTTTGATATTGCTTGTACTGCTTGTTCTATGCAGATATGGTTGTCCATGAAATCAGTGGGCTGATTCCCGAGTCTCAAGTTGAGTTAGACTGCTGCGGCCACAAAGCGTGCTCGAAACAGAGAAACAGGCGTAATGGAAATCAACTTTCCCAATTTTTCGCGTTCTTGGGAAGAGGAAGGCATTTACGATGCCTTGAGGAAAATTTTCCTCGTAAAACAAGCTATCACTATCCTTAACAGCATCGCAGGATAGCTTTTGTGATTACTGATTGATAAACAGGAGTGATATCGGTTGGATTCCAAATATCCACTTATCACTGATACGGAATCAGCAAATCACAGATGACCTTGTTCCTCCAAAGGAAGCATGAACCCAAACGAATAGCTTCTTCAATCACCTTTCAAAAAGGAAATAATGATGCCGAAAAAACTTTAATACGTAGAAAAAGCATGGAAAATAAAAAAAATCAAGCACTAACACGTCCTTCGAGGTCGGCTAATTTACCGCGCAGCTCGGACAATTGCACACGCAATCGTTTCACCTCCTCTTTCGCATAACCTTGCTCCAGGTTTTGCCGCGTTGATTGGGTTTGAATTTCCTGCACCTTGAGCTTGTACCATGATTCCATGTCGGTACGGTTGATGTTGCAAATCTGCAACAACTTATTGGTTTTAAAAAAGTCGAAAAAGTTAGAAAGTCGAGAATCGCTCTTTTTCTGCTCTTTACAACGAAAGCTGTCGGAAAGTAGCAAGTGCCACTGGCAAGGCTGTCGATGGCTCCTTTCTTCAGAAGCAAGCTGATGGCGGTTTCGATTCTCTGGCATACTCCG